GTGGGGGAAACCTGTACTACAGAGGCCTATCCTCCAAAAAATAATTTGTTACTTTTTGAGTTCCCCCTCATCGACATAAGCTACACATTTACTTATGATGTTGAACTGAATATTCAGAATATGGTTGGGCATTGATTAAATCTTTATTGGGTATGTATTTATTTATTTTTTATTTGGAGGTGGGAGTCTCACTCTGTTGCCCAGGCTGGAGTGCAGTGGCATGCTCATGGCCACTACAGCCTCAACCCACTGGTCTCAGGCAAGCCTTCCACCTCAGCCTCCTGAGTAGCTGGAACTACAGGCACACATCATTATGCTAGGCTAATTTTTTGATTTATTGTAGAGGCAAAGTCTCACCAAGTTGCCCAGGTTGGTTTCCAACTCCTGGGCTCGGGCAATCCTCTTGTCTCCGCCTGCCAAAGCGCTGGCATTATAGGCCTAAGCCACCGTGCCTGGCCATTTGATTTCTTTTAAAAAATGCATTTATGTCCCATCAAAGTAAGAGAAATTGAAAAAACAAACAAGCAAACACATGTTTAGCTCTATACCTCAAAAACATTTTTTGGTTCTGAGGAGCGTTTACTAAAAATTTCTTGATTCACCTTGAACAGAGTCACTAGTTAAAAATAAGCACATAAACCTAATCTTAAGAAAAAAAATGCTACTCACTTCTTGGCTGATATATTTATGTCTTTGTATATGGAATAGTGATTTCATTGTCTTGGTAAAATCTTCAAATGTCAAATGCATACTTATTGTCTTTGTTGGACTTAACCTTCTTTATGGTGATAATTTGTTTCCATAGCTCTTCTGTACTGACTGTCTGAAACATTTACCGCTGGCATCCTAGATGTAAATTGGAATCCCTGCATTTGTTTATAACCTTCTCTTTCCAGAGACTGAAATGACCTATGAAACTTTTGTAAGCGTATTTTTTTAAACTCCCTTGTATTCATATATAATAACATAATAGTTTTGGGAAACATGAGCTGATGTGTATTTTAAATTTCATAGGAAAAGACAATTTGGGGACACTTTATTTACTCTTTGATCATTTGCTTGATAAACAAATTTTAATTCTAGGGCAAACAAAGACAATCATGATTCTATGAGGTGGCAAAACTTCAATAAAGAATAATTAGATAACACTTACTTTAATTGCCCTATCAATTTAAATCCATTTCCATTTATTTTTAAACAACTATTAGAATTAATTTAACAAAAGAATCATTGTATTTCAAACATAATTTCAGAGGTATTGGTGTTACTTTATTATTTACTCTGCCATGATTTTTCAATTAACTAATCATTTATGCTGTCTTAAGAGCACATAACCTTACTCAATATTTATTCAATAAAAGCATAGTAAAATGGAGTTGGTATTTTTGAAGTACTTTTTATTATTGTTGTATAAAATGCCAAATCTTTTTATGATAGCTTTATTACTCGACTAGGGATGTGGGATTTTTTTAATTCTTTTTTTTTGTTGCTTTTTTTTTTGAGTTGGAGTCTCACTCTGTCGCCCAGACTGGAGTGCAGTGGCCGCTCCCGGCCACCGCAGCCTCAACCCGCTGGGCTCTGGTGATCCTTCCACCTCAGCCTTCCAAGTAGCTGGAACTACAGGCATGCGCTACCACACCCGGCTAATTTTTTGATTTAATGTAGAGACGAGGTCTCGCAAAGTTGCCTGGGTGGGTCTCGAACTCGCGGGCTCAGGCAGTCCTCTCTCCTCGGCCTCCCAAAGTGCTGGGATTACAGGTTGAGCCACCGAGCCCGGCTGGTTTTTTTAACTCTTAAAAGTTTCTACAGAAATTTTATTTTTAGTTAAAAAAAAAAAAAAGTCTATGATTAATATCTATTTTGCTATTTTCATACTAATTATCATGAATTTTAAATGCAATGAAAATATATACAAGTATTGTAATGGATATGTATTTAATCATATTCTGAGTTTTTTCATTCTTATACCTTTAAAGATTCTATCAATCATTCCTTTAAAATTATCTCATAATAATTTTTTAAAAATACAGTTATGCATCACCTAATGACAGGGATATATTCTGAGAAATACATTGTTAGATGATCTCATCATTGTTATGGGAACATAATAGAGTGTACTCACACAGCCTAGATGGTATAGCCTCCTATACAACTGGACTATATGATACAGCCTCTTGCTCCTACACTGCAAACTATACTGAAAACTATGCTGAATATGGTGAGCAATTGTAACACAATGGTAACTATTTGTGTAACTAAACATATCAAAGCATAGAAAAGTACAATAAAAATATGGTATACAAGATAAAAGTGGTACACCTGTGTAGAGCACTGGCCACAAATGGAGCTTGAAGGATTGGAAATTGTTCTGGGTGAGTCAGTGAGTGGTGAGTGAATGTGAAGGTCTAGGACGTCATTGTACACTACTCTTACTTTGTAAACATTGTATATTTGGTCAACACTAAATTATGTATTTTTTTCTTCAATAATAAACTAAACTTACTGTAACATTTTTTACTTTGTAAACTTCTTAATCTTTTAAACTGTTTGACTTTTGCAGTAACTCAGCTTAAAACACACATTGCACAGTTACACAAAAATATTTCTTTTTTATAATCTAAATCTATATGCTTTTTATCTTTTTTTTTTACTTTATAAACTTTTTTTAAACATGAAGACACAAACATACTCAGTAGCCTGACATACAAAGGGTCAAGATCAATATCACTGTTTTCCACTTCCACAGCTTGTCGCACCAGAAGATCTTCACGGGCAATAACAAACATGGAACTGTAATCTCCTATGATAGCAATCCTTTCTTCCGGAATAACTCCTGAAGGACCTACCTGAAACTGTTTTACATTTAATTTTTTTAAATAAGTAAAGGAGAAGAATCTAATATAACAATAAAAAGTATAGTATGGTAAATATATAAACCAATAATATAGCCATTTATTATCATTATTAAGTATTAGGTATTATGCATAATTGTATGTGCTAGACTTTTATACTACCTGCAGTGCAGTAGGTTTGTTTACAACAGCATTACCATGATCACAAGTAATCATTGTGCTATGATGTTACAACGGCTATGATGTCACTAGGCAACAGGAATTTTTCAGCTCTATTGTAATCTTATGAGACCACCATCATATATGCAGTCTATCATTGAGCAAAACATTGTTAAGTGGTACACGACTATAACTCTATGTTTGTTATTCCACAGCTTAATATAAATAAAAATTGTATAAGCCATACTAGAGTACAATTTATCTCTCAAAATAGAAAATTACCATGTTTAAAATAAATTTATAGTCTGCCATTTGTTATACAATTAATAGTCAAAGAATATTGTTTGTCTGCTAAAATCCTTTTTATTTTTTTTTCAATAGAATATATTTTTTAATTTTTTTAAAACAGGATTTATTGAGAGGACAGAAAAGCCCCCACAGTGGGAGGGGACACGGCAAGGTTACTTAATAGAACATTTTTAAAGAAATTTTTTTGTTCTTTGTACTGTGTTCAGGAAGGATTCACTTTATTGTGTGTTTATCTTTACTATCAGTTAAAAATAAGTTCTAGTAAGTTAGAAATTATGACAAGGAGGATAGAGAAGAAAACTTGAAAGGCAAGCATCTAGCTTCTTTTCCTCAACTTCTCTCTGAAACTGTTACATAAAGTATCTAATGTACCTTCCTCATGGCTGTTTTAAGAAAAAAAAAAAGTTTGAAAACAAAGTTTACTTAGCAAGAAGAGAAGAAAGAAATGGCAGTTGAAAGTTTCTTATCAGAAAGGCCTGGCATGGGCAAACCTCTTGAAAAAGAAAGACTGTGCCCCTCATGATTCTTGTTTCATAATTTGTACAATTTTGTAACAGCTCTATTTTTATTCAATGTCAAGAATATCTAGGTCTCTGCTCAAATGATTGGCAATACTCCTTTGAGCTAGAGTAACAACAGCAATAAAAATGAACTGATCAACTCAACATGAGCAGGATTGTACTTATGTTTGTCCTGGCTCACCTAGTATCCCGTCACACTATTAGTCTGATCTGTATTCTGAACAGTTACCCATTATAAACTGATTGACTAGGGAGCAGCAGTTAGGTGTACAGTCTTGAAATGAAATGAAACTAGTGTTCACATGAGATTGACCTAAAGATCTATGTCTCAATTGCATTAATAAACAAGCTTTCAAATAATTAAGGAACAAAATAAATTGAAATTAAATTCTTACTATTATTTATTACTGTAATGATGAATTGAGAATTCTTTTTTACTTAAAAAAAACTGTTAAAAAGTGACTAATAGCCGGGCTCGGTGACTCAGCCTGTAATCCCGCGCCTTTGGGCGGCTGAGGTGAGTGGATTGCCTGAGCCCGCAGGTTCGAGACCCGCCTGGGCAGTGAGACCTCATCTCTACAATAAAAAAAAAAAAAAAATCAGCCGGGCGTGGTAGTGCATGCCTGTAATTCTGGCTAATTGGAAGGCTGAGGCGGAAGGATCACCGGAGCCCAGCAGGTCGAGGCTGCGGTGGCCGGAAGCAGCCACTGCACTCCAGTCTGGGCAACAGAGTGAGACTCCAACTCAAAAAAAAAAAAAAAACAAAAACAAACAAATTAAAAAAAGTGACTAATTGGGCCAGGCCAGTGGCTCACCCTGTAATCCCAGCACTTTGGGAGACCTAGGCGAGTGGATTGCCTGAGTCCGTGGGTTCGAGACCAGACCAGGTAACTTGGTGAGACCTCATCTCTACAATAAAATAAAATAAAAATAGCCAGGTGTGGTAGCATGTGTCTGTAGTTCTGGCTACTTGGAAGGCTGAAACGGAAGGATCGCTGGAGCCCAGCAGGTCAACACTGGGGTGGCCATGAGCATGCATTCCAGCCTGGGCAAAGGAGTGAGACTCCAACTCAAAAAAAAAAAAAATTGACTAATTGTATTTTCTTAAATAGCAACAACAACAAAACAAATCTTTCTATTTTCTGTTCCTTTCCTACAGGTTTAGGCTTCAGTATTGCAGGAGGTGTGGGAAACCAACACATTCCTGGAGATAACAGCATTTATGTAACTAAAATTATAGATGGCGGAGCTGCACAAAAAGATGGAAGGCTGCAAGTAGGAGACAGACTACTAATGGTGAGTGTGACTCCAGCAAAACTATGTGTATATTTATAAAGCTCTTTTTTCTCTGTGTGTGACTGTCTTAGTCTGCTCGGGCTGCCATAACAAAATGTCATATAGTGGGTGGCTTAAATAACAGAAATTTATTTTCTCACAGTTCTGGAGGCTGGGAAGTCCAAGGTTCCAATCGATTAGGTTTCTGATGAAGGCTCTCTTCCTGGCTTGCAGATGGCTATCTTCTCACTGTGTCTTCACATGGCCTTTCCTATGCTTTTGTGCTGAGAGAAATATCTCTTTCCCTTCCTCTTCTTATAAGGTCATCTTCTAGCCTAATAATGCCCAGACCTGTTGGATTAGGGCCCCACCTTTAGCTCATTTAACTTTAATTACCTCCTAAAGACCCTATCCCCAAATAGAGTCACACTGGGGGTTAGGGCTCCACCATATGCATTTGTGAGGGGAACACAATTCAGTCTGTACCACCGATCACGGGCAGAAATAGAAAAGACAGGAGAGCAGATGGATGGATGGATGGATGGATGGATGGATGGATGGATGGATGGATGGATGGATGGATGGATGCGTAAGAGCTCAAAGTACAAGTACAATGTATCTGTTTTGTTGATATTTTCAAAACAGAAATCTAATTTTTCATCAGTTTTCTTAGATACATATGGAAGATTACCTGTTGTTCTTCCAATATAATCTATCTTCTATTAGGGAAAGCAACTGCTATTTACAGACTGCTGAATAGATGAGATTTGCCTAACAAAGGGAACAACACCATTTGTTCTACTGATATATTCATACCGATGGTGCTTTGTTTAGACAATGTAGACACAACACCTGACTTACAAGAATTTATACTCTGAGTTCTGCCGCATGTGTAAATGGATCTCTTCTTCCCCTTTCCCTCAGATAGATTACCCCTATTTTATTTGTCAGATGCCCACATGCTTCTGGAGTCGTGGGCAGTGATTGACACTGACACACAGCCACCCTTTTTGAACCACAGAATTATATGATAACCTAAAGCAAAACTAAGGCAATTATAAGCAGTAAAGCATTTGGGGCTGCACTAATAAACCTGCTTCATCTTGAGTTACTGTTGTCTACCAAATTTATAGGATAACAGTCAAATATTGAAAATTAATAGTAGATAGCTCTCAAGTAAGATTGTTTTATCTAGTCTTATGACTGCCCTTGTAAAACAGGGTCACTAATCGAAGTCTATAAGGAGCCATTATCTCCATCACTTTTGTGAGAAGTGTCTGTGGAACGATCTCTGCAGAAAAGTAATCTCTATGGCATATGCAAGTTTTGGAGGTCGAACCCCAAGTTTTATATTCATTGTATCCACTTCCCTGGGCTCTATAGAGCTTCTGTTTAATCCCAGTGGTCTCATTTCAAAGTTTTTAAATGACCCTTATATTGAATTATCTGGATAAGACCTTTGTAATAATCTTGAGAGCCAACATTTACTTGGAATTTACTAAGTTCCATGTTCTTAATGTAGCATATATTTTCACAACAGCACATTTCATAAAAGCAAAAGGAAACTCAGTTATAGAAAAGATTTCTAATTTACCTATGGCCATACAGTTAATAACGGACAGAACTGGATTTCAAATTGACACAATCTGGCTGGCACCCATACTGATTACCACCAAGTAATATTGCTTTTTGTGCATGGTGTTTGTTTCAGTTTCCTTGAATTTGTCATTCAGTTTTTTCTTTATTCATCATTCATTACTTCCTTTATTTAACAAATATATATTGCCTACCTACTATGTCCCAGGCAATAGTGACTGTTCGGGAAGGGACATGAGAAAACAACTGGTCCAATGGGCAAAAAAGTACACCATTTATGTCTTCAGTTGGCATTGCAACTAAGGCTTTTTTTATTTACCACCCAAAGCCACTACCCAAAGCCAATACTTGAGAAATTCTGAAAATTTGTTTTGATAACTTGTTTTTCTGCTTTTGATGTAAAAGCTGGCTTTTCTGATATTGTATCTTCTGAACTAGGAAAGTTGTTATTGGTATATATAACCTGAACAACTTCTCTCTCTAGAATACAAATTTTTATTGCTTGAAATGTCGACTCGGGAATAACATAAATTGTTATAACCATTTTCTACATAGTACTAAATTGAAAAATGAAGAAAGTTTCACTTACAAATAACAACTGTCTTAGATAATGGTTGATTTGACCCTTGACTTATGGTTCTGTAAGAATTTGGTTCTAAACAGCTTTTTTGATATTTCATCAACTGTTTCTACTATAAATCATGTTGGAAATTGTGTGCTGATTTCTTGAGGTTCTGTTTTAAAATCTAGTTTTATTTTCAAATTCTTAAAAGAAAAAAATCTTGGTCCAAATAATTCTGTCAAAGGATTTTCCAGGCACTATGCTATTTTTCCATTACCATTTACTTGTTACTCATTGTAGATATAATGATTTAAAAATAGCTGTGACATAATCCTTAACTGGTTTGAGTTTTAAAGCATAGTTTTAAAAAAATGAACCTTCAACAATAATAGGTCTCTCTCCTCTTATGTAAGGAAAACATAATTAGTACTTCCAAGACAACTGCCAAGCTGAATCTGGAAATGAAAGAAAATGATTCATTTTAAAATATGCTGCAAGCAAAATAACCCTGAGAAAGAATTTTATAAAAATCACTGAAGCCACCTAAAAGACCAATTATCTTGCTTCAACCTCAAAATATTTATTAATGCTCTCCTGTTGTCATTCCTTTCCACCTCCTCTTCCCTTTACTACCCTACATTCATATCCTTTGTTTCCTCCCTCTCTTCTACTCTCCTCCCCCAAAGGAAGTACAAATGATTTAGATTCTGTGATGTGCCAGCTGTACCACACTCTGCGTATTCTTCTCTAAATATGCTATTCTTTCTAAAGCAATTTGCACTACTTCCTTTTCTCACTTCTTAGGAAAATATTTCACCACATATTGTTCACTCAGAGTTCTGTAAGTAAACTGGTCTAAAATAAAACTCCATTAATTTCTTTAGACTTTCATGGCTGGATACCCACAATTAAGGAAGTCTCCCAACATCTGCCCTCTACTGAGACCATAGTCATTTTTTTTAGAGTATTAGTAATAACTCTTTCATTTCTAAGTAAAATAGCTATAATGTTGGGTACTACTTCTATCATACCATATATAGTGATTAATTTATATCCTCTAAGATTTTCTTATATCTCTAAATAGAAAAGTATCTATCTTAAATGTCATCTTATGCCAACTCTTGCTTGGCACATTAGAATCCTGCAGAAAAGCAAACGTGAAGCAGTCTCTTGCTTCTCATGGAACCCCTCTAAGAACAGAGAATTTAATACCTTCCCAAAGTTATTAATTAGGTAATTGCTATCATTACAATTTTTCATTAAAATTATGTTGAGGCCGGGCTCGGTGGCTCAGCCTGTAATCCCGCGCCTTTGGGAGGCTGAGGTGAGTGGATTGCCTGAGCCCATCGCAGGTTCGAGACCCGCCTGGGCAGCGAGACCTCATCTAAATAATAAATCAAAAAATCAGCCAGGCATGGTAGCACGTGCCTGTAATTCCAGCTACTTGGAAGGCTGAGGTGGAAGGATCGCCGGAGCCCAGTAGGTCTAGGCTGCGGTGGCCGGGAGCGGCCACTGCACTCCAGTCTGGGCGACAGAGTGAGACTCCAACTCAAAAAAAAAAAAAATTATGTTGAAATATATTTTCCTATAAATTTGTCCCTTTGCTCATAGTCTGTCCTTTGAAAACAAAAGATGAGGACTAATTACTCTTCCACATACATCTGAGTTATATCTTGCCTCTTCTTTACTTCCCAGTCTTTCAGAAGAGTTCACATCTTTTCTCTTACTCCTCCAGTAAATTTTATCACATGTTAATTTACCTCCTGCAAATAAATTACACTTAGAACAAAATTTTGTTTAATTCTTTGCAATCTTATTCCTCACTTAAAAAATCCAGATAATATTGTAGCATCTGACCTTCTTATTTATTCCACTTAAAAAATTATCATTTCACCTTTGCAATAAACCATTTGGTGTTTCAATGAGATAACTATAATGTCAGACTTCTCTGATATTTAATGGATCACCCAAATACATGGTATGTGTTCTTGTTAGCAAAATATTTTGTAAAAATTTTCCTTACTATTTGGCATTTATTATTAACTTAAAATTTCGGTTTTTATATGGTGAAGTGACAGGGACATCTGATTTTTGTGAATTGTACCAGTTGCTTAGTCTTGTAGTCTCAGACCAAACAGATTTTCTTAGCCTTGAATTTCAGAGATAGTCAGAAGTTAACAGCATTAATAATTTCATATATTGCTTTTTATTAAGCCCTATCAAGGTGATACATAAAGCCAAGTATATTACAAAAATTTGATTTTCTTCCCCTTTTTCTATACACTACCAGAAATGTTGAATCTAAGATTATTTGATTGTCTCCCTACAGAGATAGCATTAGTTACTAGTTGTCAGTGTTCCTTGGCACATTGTAATTTAAGGTTTAAAATCTTCATCTCTTCTTTCTATAACTTCTGCTTGACATTTGAAGAAAAAATTGTCAGTAAATGAACTTTTACACCTTTTGCAGAGAATGGGTGTGTATGTTTTCTTTCCTTAAAGGAAAATAGTAGATGATAGGAAAGGTAACAGAGACATTGGAGTCAAGTTGAAAGACACTGGTCTCAGAGATGAGGAAGCTGGATTTTAGTGGCAGCTAGCACTGACTCTACCTAATCTCTCTTAGGCAATTCATGTATGTCTTTGGTCTTCTATTTGGCCTCTATACCATAGTAGCATTACATTAGGTCAGTATTTCCCAAAGTGTGCTTTAAAATATTAATCTCACTCCTGTGTCATATGAAAAGACTTTGTGACCAAATAAGTTTGAGAAATTCTTAAACTTGTATCTCACTCTTCCTGTAGATTCTCAACAAATTTTAGCATGTTAAAAATTCTGTGACGTCCTGCTATCAAGAAACTA